AATAATGGTCATGAGAGCTGGGGGTGGGGTGAGTTGGGGTGGGGGAACCTTTGGTACCCTCTGGTGAAGATGGCCTTCTGCCTTAGTAGTCAGGTTCTATTTTTAGGTGGGGCACCTTTAAATCCCCCCTTTTTAAAAATCAGTGCAGAGTGCAACTGTGAATACCTTTGGCTCATCATCTACCCAATCCTACCTATATGTAGTCAGTTTACTCACAATAAACTTCAAAATTGCACTGTATGGAGTTGCCTGTTTTGTTTTTCTGTCTCAAAGTTTCTTTTCATTTCAGAGGCTATTATTCAAAATCACCACATTCCAACAACAGTCTTTCTCCATCTGACTTATTCACTTAGCATAATACCCTCCAGGTCCATTGATGTTGTTGCAAATGGCAAGATTATGTTCTTTTTATGGCCGAGTAATATTCCATTGTATATCTATACCACATCTTCCTTATCCATTCATCTATTGATGGGCACTTAGGTTGCTTTCATATCTTGGAGACTTACATAATTCTGCAGTGAACAGAGGTGTGCAAATATCTTTTCAAATTAATGTTTTCCTTTTCTTTGGATAAATACTCAGGAGTTAAATTGTTAGACTGTACAGTAGTTTTATTTTTTAATTTTTTGAGGAATTTCCATACTGCTTTCTATAGTGGTTGCACCAATTTACATTTCCACCCACAGAGTATCAGGGTTACCTTTTCTCTATACCCTTGCCACCATTTGGTTTTGTTGTCTTTTTGATAATTGCTCTTCTGATTGGTGTGAAGTGATAATAGTGGTTTTGATTTGCATTTACCAGATTATTAGATGTTCAGTATATTTTTTAAATGCTTTAAAAAAACCCCCTATGAACCACATCACATATTTCATGTTAATTTATGTATTGGGTTGTTGAATTTTTCTTAACTTGTTAAAAAACCTCTTATTGTATACAAAATTACCCCCTTTTTTTTGTTTGATTTTACACTTTGTTTATGGTGACCATTTTATTCTAGAGATATTTAAAAATTTTATGAAATCAAGTTTTAAACTTTAAAAATTTTCTTTGTGACTTTTGGGTTTTATATCATCAAGTAGCCTTTTCTATTACAAAATTTAAAAAACTAAATTATCCTGTGTTTTCTTTTAGTGTTTTTACTTTTTTGTTTGTTTGTTTAAATGTTTGATCTATTCAAAATTTATTTTGGGATAAAGAAGTTAGTTAAGAAGTTAGTTAAGGATCTGGTTTTCTCCCCGCCTAAGTATCTAACCAGTTGTTATAATGTCTTTTATTCAAAAGATTTTCTGTATGGACTGAAATACTAACTTTGTCACATAATACATTTCCATAGGTATTTAGACTCAATTCTAGTCTTGCTATTCTTTTCTGTCTGTTTTATGCACCTGGGCCAAATTATTTTAATTATTGAAGCTTTACAGTTCCCTAGAATGAGCTTTACTCACTTAAGAAATATTCCATTGATATATTGTTGAGGTTGTATAAAATTTATGGGTTGATTTAGGGTGAAGTGACATCTTTACACGGCTTAATCTTCTTTCCAAGGACAGAGTTGTCTTTTCATTCATTCGAGTTTTCTTTCATGTCCCTCAGTAGTGCCCTAAAGTTTTCTTTTTATAGATTCTGCACCTTTTAAACTTATTCCTTAATATTTTATCTTTTTGAATATAAATGAGACTTTTCCCTTCCATTATCTGTTCTAATTGGAATATTGTACAGAGAAAGCTTTTGTTATGTGTATATAAAATTTAAATACTTACTTTATTGAGTTCTCTCTTTTTTCATAGCTTTGTAATTGATCCTCTTGAGTTTCATTGGTATACAAGCTCATGATTTTGCCTTCCTATTTCCAATTTTAACCATCACAATTTTGTGGCTTGCTAAAGCATCTGGAGGAATGTTAAATAGCAGTAGTGGTGATGGGTATCTTCCTTTCTTTCTTTAAAAAAATTATTTATTTATTTACGACTGGGCTGGGTCTCATTGCTGTGTTCGGGCTTTGGTTGTGCTGTGTGGGGGCTGCTCTCTAGTTGTGGTACAAGGCTTCTCATTGTGGTGGCTTCTCTTGTTGCAGAGCAAAGGCTCTGAGATGTGTGGGTTCAGCAGCTGTGGTGCGTGGGCTTAGTTGCCAAGTGGCATGTGAAATCTTCCCAGATCAGGGATTGAACCCATGTCACCTGCATTGGCAGGTAGATTGTTAACCGCTGGACCACCAGGGAAGACCAGGTATCTTCCTTTATTCCAGAGTCTAATGAGAATGATTTGGTAATTCACTGTTAACACAGGATGATGCCTTTTCCTTACATATATTGCATATACATATTTCTCTCTATATATATGCTTAAAATCATATTAAAGATGTATCTATCTCTTCATGCTTTAATAAAGAGTTTAATTTTTTTCAATCAATACAGAATGTTGTTTTTTTAATCTGATACCTTTCCCAGCATCTTTGAAGATGGTTAGATCCTTTCTCTCCATTGACATGTGACTCTAGTGAGTCCTAATGTTGAACTTTCTTTGCATTTTAAATCTTGTTATATTATTCTTTTAGTGTGCTGACAGATCCTAAGTGCTGATATTTTATTCAGGATTTTTGTATTACTATTCATAAGTGAGATTTACTATGTATTTTTTTTTATTATACTATTTTTATCAGGTTTTGGTTTCCAAGTTTTGTTAGCTTTGTAAAAAGAAGTGAAGTAGCACTGGAGTTCTGTGAAGATTTGGTTATTTTTCTTTTTGAAACTCTTCTAGCTAGCTCTTTTATTTCTCTCTGAATTATTACTAAAATTAGTGTATTTTAAAAAAGTATAGCTGTATGTAGTGCCAGTTGTGATATAATTTTCATATTAAGTCACTAATTTCTGCTTTTGAAGCTACTTATTCCTTACTCTTGATTTCCTTAGATTTATTTTGTTATGCTTAAAAATAAACCTTTTGGAAGTTGTGCAACTTATTTTTATTCTCTCTTATTTAAAAATATACATATTTTAAGCTTTGATTTTTCCATGAATATTGTTTTTGTTTTATTCCACAGGTTCTGATGCACCGTCATTTCATCTTTGGCCATAGTTCAAAATTTTGATTTTGATTTCTTCTTTGGCGCAAAATTTATTTAAGATGAGGTTTACCACTTTTTCAGTGGCAATGTGTTTATTGTTTAGTGCATTCTTATTAATTTCTAGCTTTCTTTCTTTGTAATTAGAGTATGCTATCTGAGTTTTTTTCCCTTGTGGTAAAATATACATAAACATAACATTTATCATTTTGACTATTTAAAATACATAGTTCTGTGCCATTAAGTACACTTACACAGTTGTGCAACCTCCATCAACATTAATTTTCAGAGCATTGCCATCTTCCCTGAACTCATTAAATAATAACTTCCCTTTTCCCATTTCTCCCACGGAGGTGTTTCTTTCTTTTTCTGCTTTTTTAAAAGTTGTTTTTTAATTGGAGGAAAATTGCTTTACAGTGTTGTGATGGCCTCTGCCATACAACAACATGAGTCAGCCATAATCACACATGTATCACCTTCCTCTTGAGCCTCCCATCCCTTCCTCCATCCCACCCTTCTAGATCATCAGAGCTCCTGGCTATTTTTTCTTTCTTTCTTTTTTTTATTTTTATTTTTATTTTTTTCCATTTATTTTTATTAGTTGGAGGCTAATTACTTTACAACATTGCAGTAGTCTTTGTCATACATTGAAATGAATTAGCCATGGATTTACATGTATTCCCCATCCCGGTCCCCCCTCCCACCTCCCTCTCCACCCGATCCCTCTGGGTCTTCCCAGTGCACCAGGCCC